GGTTGAAAAGCAGGAGGAGGGGGGAAGGATGGAGCCCGAGCGCTGGGGGGATGATGGATTACAAGTGAGCTGGAAATTGGGTGCCACCCCGCAGCCGGCCGGCCCCGGGGACGCGCGGGGGTTTTGTGGTTTGTTTGAGGAGGTGGGTAGGATGTACAATAGCGGGGGCTGACTTTACTCAGCAGAGGGGAGTTAAGCGGGCAGCGGGGGTCATTAGCATACAGCTGCGCTGGTTAACCCGGCCCATGTTTGCTCGGGGTCCCCAGGCTGGTGGGGAGAAGCCCCGATCCCGCAAGGAAGGCTGAATGGGAGGGGACGGGGCTACAAGTGACCTTTGGGGCTTGAAAAGGAGAAAGGAAAAAGGAAAAAAAAACAATAATAAAAGGATGGAGGAGGTGGGAAGGCAAGTTCTCACAAATGCGCAGCCCTGCTTTTGGGGAGGGACAGGGGTCAGCCCCCCCCCCCCCTCCATGGGTCAGGAGGGCTGCAAGCAAGGGGTTAAGGGATGGGGGACCTGCTGCTGAGGAGGGGACAGCTGGGGGACGGGGACATTCGCCCATTGGCTGCAGGGCCAAGGATGCCCGTGGTCATTGTGGCCCCAGGACACATCACTGCTGGGGTGGGACAGGGCTGGAGCTGTGCATGGTCACCCCCAATCACTGCAGGGGTGGGACAGGGCTCTACATGGTCACCCCCAACCAACATGGGGTCCAGCCAGCACCTCACTGCTGGTCCCCATCTCCCCCAGGTGCTCAGGGAGGGGTCAGGTGGCTGCTGGGGGTGCAAGCTGACCCAGGGGAGGGGGACACCATCCAAGGATGCCCAAAAAGACACCATCACAAGCCCTTCCTCATCCACCCCAAGACGCATGGTATCCCAGTACATCCCAGCCCAAGCTCCAGCCCCACTGGAGAGGGATGGGGCGGGCAGGGGACACGCAACCTCCGCACAGGCGAGACAGAAAATGTTTGCTTGATTAACTCAGAAACGGCGTCCAGCAACTGTGCCTTCAGCCGCTCCAAAAATAACCCCGCAACTAATCCTCCGGCTCAGCCGCTATAAATAGACCACAGGGACAATTGTTTATTATTCGCCCGCACCGAAAGGCTTCTTTCCTAACGAGGCATCTTCCCTCTGGCCTCTCCCCACGTACATCCCCTCGTTTTCCCAGTGCGGGCAGACCAGGTGGCACCTCGGGGACCAGGAAAAGGGCACACAGCCCTGCAAGCCACCTTGCAGGGTCTACTGGGGTCTCAAAGGTTCCCCACCTCCCTCCCCATAAAATTCAATTAAAACTGAAAAAAAAAAAAAAAACTAAAATAAAGACCCTTTTTTTTTTTTAATTAATTTGTCTGCGTTTCTTGGAGGGGAGCTGTGCCCTTCCTGCATGGCCCCCTCACCCAGGGCTGCAGGGTTGAGGAGCAAAGGTGCCAGCCGAGCCTGGGAGGTGACACGACAGGAAAGGAAGGGGACAAGAAAACATCATTTCCACATATCAGGGGAAAAAAAAACCCCAAAAACCCACAGATCAGACTTCAGCATCCCTGATGCAGGGCACTGGGCATCAGACAGTGCCCGTCTGCAGTGTCCCCAAGCTGTCACCTATCAAGCCACCATCTCGACCCAGCAGAAAGCACCCTCAGCCCTTCCACCCACCCCACTCCCCTCCACCTCTCCCCGGCTTGGCCCCCATCCCAGCCGTGGCACTGAGGGGTGCCAGGACCTCTCGGGTCCCCCCCGCAGTAACTTTTCCTGCGGGGTGCAGGAGAGGAAGGGCCCGCTACCCGCCCCCCCCAGCCCCTGCAGGAAACCTCATTGTTCTCAAAACTGCAGCTTCAAGAAACACAGGATGCCAAATCCCTCCCAAACAATAGCTGCCACCACTCCATACAGCCCCGCACAATGCGCGGCCTCCGCGTATGGGGACCGAGAGGCACCCGGGGTCCCTACGGCCAGGATGGGGGTCACAGCCCCCCTCCCAGCTGCCTGCAAGGAGCCAGGCGGCCGCCGGCAGCCCCCTTCCTCCTCCTCCTCACCCCTGGGGAGGGCTCATTGCTTTTTTTGCTCTTTTTTCTTATTTTTTTTCTTGCCCTCCCCTTCATTTCTCCTTTTGCAGTGACTCATTTCCCCTCCACCAACTGAGCTCGTGGGTCGCTGACGGCGGGGCGCCGCGCAAGGCGTCCCGCCAGCCAGGGCCACCCCAGGGTCACCTCTCTGTCCCCCATTCCCGACAGCTTCCTGGGGTGACACATGCTCAGCAGACCCCGCGCCCGCCCCCGTCCCCACTTTCCCCACCAGCAGACCCACCGAAATGGGGAACCTGGGCCTGGCGGGCCCTCGCCATGACCCTGCGGTGCACAAATCCTGCCCCCGCACCACGTCTCACTTCCCCGTACTGGGAAGGGATGGAGCAGCCCAGCACCCACCTACACAGCACCCCCTTTTCACCCCAAGGACAAAAGGGAAGCAGCCACCCCGCTTGGGTTCAGGGAGATGGAGGGGCTCATCCTGCAGTTGGGCAAGGGGCTTGGGGGGGAGGTGAGGATGCTGCCGGAGCAGGTCCCTGCCTGGCTTTGTGTCCCCCACAGCAGATGTTCTCCCTCCAGCTCATGGGGGTTCAGAGGGAAACTCCCCACCCCACTCCAACAGGCTGGGAGCAGCGTGCCAGTGGTGTCCCCATGATGGTGGTGTCCCCACTCCCACCTGCTGTCCCCCCCAGGACAGGAGAAGACATGCTGGCACAGGGGTCCCGGGGCTGGGACCCGCAGAGGCAGCGAAGGGGCTTGTGAGGCCGCAGGCCCTTCCTCCCTCCCCCCCTCCCACCCCTGCTTCCCCGCTCCTTTCGGCAAGAGGAAGAATCCTCCACTGTAATTTTAAATGCTATAATTTTTTAATAACCTCCTCGCAAACAATGAGCTCATTGTGCGGAGAGGGTCCCCCACCCTCCCGCCTGGCGCTCCACGCGCGCCGCTCGCCGGCTCCGGGGCTTTTATGGACAAGGACAGCGGCATCGTTTGGGACAGGCAATTAAGGCTCCCCCCCCTCACCCTCCCCAAACCACACAGGCTGCCCAGGAGGGGCAGCAAGGAGGCACCCTCACCCATGAGCCGAGTTCAGCAGTGCTCAGCAGGCCCTGGCACACAGCCCAGGACTGGGGGGAGCTGGTTTTGGGATGAGCAACCCCCGTGATCCCAGCTGCTCCGGTGGTACCCCAAGAGGGATGTGCTCCAACGTGGCCACCCCGAAGATGGGGACCCTGGCCAAGGTGTTGGAGAAGTTTGGGAGCTGCCGTGAGCGGAGCGTGCTCTCTGGAAGGCAAACCCCTTCCCTCTGCCCCGAGAGCAGGAATTTTTCAAAGCCTGCAATTAGCGTGCCGCGCTGGAGGCAGCTGGCAGATCCCAGGCTGGCGGGATGGCTGCGGGAGGGATGGATGGCTGCGGGATGGAGGGAGGGATGGCTGTGGGATGGCCACCCAGCCCAGGCCCCTCGGCGTGTGCCCAGCCACCCGGCCGCCTTCGGGGTGCCCCAGGGACAGGGGACAGCTTCTTATGCAACTCTGCCACTGCAAATCACCCGACTCAGCAGGAAACCAGTGGGTTTGGACTCACTCCTGTCCAGGATTTCTGCCTAATGGCCATTTCCCTCCTCCCCACACCCCCCTCCCTCCTTCTTTTCTTTCAAGCGCAAAGTTTCCCCAGGACCCAACTCCAGCATCCCGGGGGTACTGGGACAGCTGGAAACTCTCCCCAAAGCAAAGAGGGGAAAACTCATTATTCTCCTCCAACAGCAGTTTGTCCAGCCTGGAATTGTGCAAGCCGGGAAGCAGATTTAGGAGGGAATAGGGATCTTGCCCCCCACCCCCCCCACACAGAGAGAAGCAGGAAGGAGAAGGGGGTGCCCAGTGGCAGGGTCTTGGAGGGGACAAGAGGGCAGGAAACAGGGACTATTGTGGGCAGAACAAAGAGCAGCCAAGGAAGGACACAATAGCTATTCCCTCTCTCTGCCAGGGTCCAGCCTGGAGTTACCTGCTGGAGTTAACCCCTTCTCACCAGTGCCTGCATCCCTCCTCCCAGAGCAGAGAACTGCCTGGTTAGCAAACAGCCAGGAGGGGGGTCAGGGTTTGATGGGAGAGGAGGGTCAGGGCAAGGAGAGACAAGGGGGATTCTCAGCCCTTGGGCAGGAACTTCCCCACATCAGGCAGGCAGCACACCAGCCTGAGTGCCCCTTAACGAGATACAAACAAGAGAGAGGGACAGGATGAGCAGAGGCAGGCCTGACTCAGACCAAGAGAGACTGTTTGAGCAGAGGCAGCACCCTGCTGTCACCACACCACCCTCCTGCTGTCACCACACCACCCTCCCGGGGCAGAAACCACGGGGCCAGGCAAGGAGGGGATGCAGGAACTGCACAGCCCCCCCCCCAAGACAGGGATGCAATGGATAGAAGCCCCGTGGCACCAACCCTGCACTCCCCAAGGAAAAAAACCCAACTTGATGCCAAGTTTGGGAGAGCCCAGGGTGCCCCAGAGACAGCGGCCAGGTCAGTATGGGAAGATGGGAGCCGATGGCCACCAGCAGCATGGATTTACCCCCTCTGCCTCCGTGTGTTTTCCCTGCCTCAACCAACCCTCTCTTTGCTCCACAGGAGTTCACGCCGCCTCCAGCCCTCTCTCTCTGCAGCTCCTTGTCCTCAAGTGCTGTACAAGAGCCGTCACTCAGCGGCTTTGGCTTGTCAGGCGGGCACCTCGCCGGGCTGCGGCCCCCCTGGCTTCATGGCCCTCATCTCTAGGCAACCTGACCTGGACACGGCCGGCTCGGGCTCCCCCGTTCCCATGGAAAGTGCCACACAAGAGGCTGCGAAGCCTTTTCTCTGCGCGGGGAGAAAAGGGGCTTTGTTAGCTTGCCCAGGGGGACAGCGTGAGAGCCGAGCCTCGGGGCTCTGGGAATCCAAACGGACAAACGAAGCACAACACACACACAAAAAAAAACTCCTAGAAGAAAGCCGGAGCTCACAAGAGGGAGGAGGGAAGAAAAAAAAAAAGAGCAGCCATTCCCAGGATCATCTGTAGGTGCTCAAAGAGCGTTTTCCCCCACCACCACCGCTCCTCACCCCCTCGCAGTGACAGCAGAGCATAAAAGAGGTTTCCATTAAATAACCGTACCAGGGAGAGACGGCAGAGCCACTGCCAAGCCCAGGAGATCCAAGCAAAAAAAAAAAAAAAGGGACAAGATTCACAGGGGGAAAAAAATAGTAAGCCTGTGCTTGGGGTAAGTTCCAGGAGCCAAGGCCCCCGCAGGGTCCAGCAGAGCTGGGTGAAGTGGGCAGGGGCTGGTCGATCCCCCCCCACCTTTCCTCCCTCCCCAAACACTTCAGATTTCCAACGAAAACAGTTCGCAATCAAGAAACACAAACCCAGGCCAGGAGGAAACACGTGAAGACAGTAGGATGGAAAGGTTAGGACCAGGCATAACTTACTTGGGCAGCTGTCTAAGGACAGAAAAAGTGTCTTAAGAGCAGAGAGCGAAGCACATTTCCTAAGGAAACCGCTTTTTTTTTTTTTCTTTCCCCTTTTTAATTTTGCTTCACTACTTGAAGGACAGAGTAAGGGACTGCCAGGGCTCAGGGCAGGACATCAGGAAGGTCAGGAATCGGACCAGCTGCAACTGCCCCGGTGTGGGTGAGCCAGAGCAGACCTGCAGAGCCCCCAGCCACTCCAGTCTGCCCAGTTCCTGGCCAGGGGACCAAAAGCCTCTGCACATCCCAGCGCTCTCCCAGTCCTGGGCTGTTAAATCGGGTGAACTTTGGGCAACCCAACTGCAGGCACCTCGTGGGGACCTGCCAAACCTCACCCACAGCCGGGCCCTGCAGCCCAGGAGAGCATCCTCAGAGACCTGACCCCACAGCAGGCACCAGTGGGTCGGGCTGCAGCCCCACACCGTGCCTCAGTTTCCCCGGTTGATAGCAACTGGGAGCAGGCTCTGCACTAGCAGCCGTTTAGAAGAAAGGCCCCAGAGCAGTATTTTGGGGGGCTGCCGAGTGCAAGGAGCTGAGGTCGGGCTCCCTCCGTCCCTCACCCATCCCAAATTCACCCCGCAAGGCTGCGTTTCACCCTCCCCAGACACACAGCCGGCTGCGAAACAGCCCCGACGGCCCCGAAATAGCCCCGCTACGGGGGGAACGGAAAGAGGAGGTGGCATTTACCGGGTCACAGCACCCCGGGGACCCCGCACGGCGACGGTCCGCGGCTGTCACCCGTGGGCTGCACCCCGGCCCGTGTCGCCGCGTCCCGGCGGGGACCGTCCCCGTCCCCATCCCCATCCCTTACCATGTCGCGGTTGCGGGAGATCCAGGTGTCGAGCAGCAGCTCCAGCCGCGCTTTGTGAAACTTCTTGGTGGTCTTAACGGCGATGAAGACATCGCGGGGGGAGATGTCCTCCGCCGGCGGGCGCGGGGGGCTCGGGGGGGCGGCGGGGACCTCCCGCCGGGCCCGGCTCAGCCGCCCGAAGTAATCGGCGAAGCTGCGGAGCCCTGGGGGTCCCTGAGCCGCCGGGGGGGCCGCCGCCGCCGCCGCCGCCCCCAAGCTCTGCAGCGCCCGCTGAGCCCCGCCGGCCTCCCCCCGGGCCAGCCCCGGTCTCCCCGGCGGCTCCACCATGAGCACCAGGAGGCAGGTGAACATGGAGCCCACCAGGGACAGGAGCAGCTTCCTCCCGCAGCTCTTCAGCATCCTCCTCTCGCCCGCTCTCACTCCCCCGCTCCGCTCCGCGCCGCCGACCGGCCGCGCTCCGCCC